GTGATCCTTCCTCCAACCTTTCCAGGCCTACCTCTTATTTTCCCGCATCCCATCCCAGTTTTCTTTGATCTGCTAACAGTGCTGGAATGACACTTTCCTCTCTTCACCAAAAAGTAGAACTTGAATACATTTCTTCTGGAATATTTGTTTATAGTCAAGCGGGATTAATTAAATAGATAGAGACTTGGTTTTATAAGGTGGAGGGAATAGCATTAGTCACAAGACAGTTGTGGGAGATTTTAAATACCATATGTTAGTATCTTAAAAATATTAAGCTATTTGATATTTGAAAGGAAAAAGAAAACTCATGAGAAAAGTGGCAAAAAAATTTTTTAAAAGCATTTGACAATGTTACCTTCTTTATAAACATCTTAGGTTTAGCTTAGTAGGGGAGATAAGGTGCAGATCAAGTTTTTTATTACCTTTCATATATAAAATTTGAGGCAGTAAATGAGCTTTAACTAAAGAATTTGGATTCTTTTTCCATCTTGGTGACTGAGATGGATTTTTTTTCTTGTTTCCGTGGACCCAAGTGATGCCAACCTTTCCAGGCCTACCTCTTATTTTCCCGCATCCCATCCCAGTTTTCTTTGATCTGCTAACAGTGCTGGAATGACACTTTCCTCTCTTCACCAAAAAGTAGAACTTGAATACATTTCTTCTGGAATATTTGTTTATAGTCAAGCGGGATTAATTAAATAGATAGAGACTTGGTTTTATAAGGTGGAGGGAATAGCATTAGTCACAAGACAGTTGTGGGAGATTTTAAATACCATATGTTAGTATCTTAAAAATATTAAGCTATTTGATATTTGAAAGGAAAAAGAAAACTCATGAGAAAAGTGGCAAAAAATTTTTTTAAAAGCATTTGACAATGTTACCTTCTTTATAAACATCTTAGGTTTAGCTTAGTAGGCGAGATAAGGTGCAGATCAAGTTTTTTATTACCTTTCATATATAAAATTTGAGGCAGTAAATGAGCTTTAACTAAAGAATTTGGATTCTTTTTCCATCTTGGTGACTGAGATGGATTTTTTTTTCTTGTTTCCGTGGACCCAAGTGATGCAGAGATGGTGAAAGTACACTAAAAGATGAAATGATATTTCTTCTATGATCACTCTGGTACTAGTTCAAATTGGGAGGGAATGGATTTGATGACTAATCTCTCATTTTTATCTCTGTCTAGAAACTGATTTCTTGGTATAATCGACTATTAGTATATTTTTAAAAGATTCATAACCTCCTGAGAATCTTAAGTACATAAAATATTCAGATCAAAGAAGTTGACTAATTTTAATATTTGATACAATTTTTAAAAGTTTTTATTTTTAAAGCATTTTTAAAATTACAGTGCTTCTAATGCCTGATTCTAGAACTTGTGTGTGGAACCTATGTTCTGCTATTCTGTTGGAGTTTACAAGCACAGAGTTATCTAAGGATTGTAACATTAAATGATGAAGGGAGGAACTAACATATTGCAGGCCCGTAAATTGTCAAAGGTTGTACTGATGCCTCGCATTAAATTCCCATGAAATTGACATTCTCTATTTTACAGGAAATGGAGGGACAAGGAGGTTTTAAGTAACTTGCCCCAACAATCAGGGTGGGTGTTCTGTGGAGGTGGGATTCACAGCATCTTATGAACCTGCCATGACCCAATGTCCATAGTCTCCTTGAAATAATTCTTTCAGTTTCTAGATTAAACGCAGTAAAATTCCTCTTTCTGGTGCTGTTTATTGTTAGTTATTTTCTATGCTAGTTTCAAGCCATAAGTCTATAGTTTTGGCCTTTGTGATGGAATTTTCTTGCAGTTTTAAAGGACAGCTCCCGAGTTTGCTTTCCTTTGAGAAGTCATAAATAAGAGATCACTCTAGGTGTTTGGTTATTATATTAAACACATAGAGTTTAGGTCAGTGTTTTCAGCATTGATGTGAGTTTTCTTGCTGTGCCACTCAATGGCTAGTGAATATCCTAAATAAGGACAATGCAAAGGCAGTCTTAACCCTTTTAATGCAGCTTCCATTTAGGTTTAAATGACTTCCGGGGTGCATTACATGTTGACGTGTGTGTGTGTGTGTGTGTGTGTGTGTGTGTAAAATCTGTTTTATTTTTTTAAACTTGAAAGTTTGAACTTTCTACACCAAATGGTTTCTTTCAAAATTAGAAGTATTAGAAATGAGAAAAATCTTTCAACTATATGCCCATTGCTCTCTCTTTTTTCTTAAGGATCTTGATACAAAGCTACTCTGGCAAATAGGAAGATGAAAAGTTTAGGGGTAGGGAGTACCTGAGACACTGAATTTCTTCCTTACCCTGTCAACATCGTGAGTTCTGAGCCCACCCCAGGCTGCACCAACCTTGTAACCCCGGGTGGGAACACTCCTGGGCTGAGAGCTCTGCCCTTGCTAGCTTCTTCGTGGAGTTTCCTCTGACTTCCTAGATGGTGCCTTCTTGCCCTACTGAATTTTGTTGGATGTGGTCTTCGCTTATAGGACAGCTCCAAATTTCCTTACAGGTAAAAAGAGAATGTTAATGGTATACCACTGCATGGTGCTATTGAGAAGATTAAATAATTTATGTAATATATATAGGATTAGGGTTGTACCTGACACCTAGGAAAAAGTTAACAGATTTTAAATTATAATTTTAATTTACCTCTGGATGTAGGCAAGGTCTTCACTCATACTGTCTTGGGAAAAAAACAGACATCTTGCTTTTCCAGGGTTCTAGTGGATTTTATAAGCCTCCCTCTGATACCTCACTATAACTAACACAGGTAAGTAAGCAAAAAGCAGGGGTGTTTGTTAACTTTGAAACACAAATAGCATTGAGACACATTTTCTTACTTACAACTTGATTATGTGTGTTTACTTCCTAACCAGAAACAAATCTCAGCTGGGCTTAAAACAAAGAATAGAAAGTGGCCTTAACTGTGTTTCAGAAAACCCATTTTAGTAACTTAGATTTTAGGTTTGTAAGCCAGCATGACTTTAAGCCTTTGGGGATTGCTATATAGAATTTCATGCTGTGGGTGTCAGAAAGCAGCACTCCTAGGTTATATTCATAAGTCCCACTACATTGTTTTATAGTCTGTAATTTCTAAGTTAGTGTATGAGTTTCTAATATTGAATTGGGAGAAGATCATAAAGGCAGACCTTTAGGTTTCCTATTTCTTATTTAGCTCAACCAAAATGTGTCTTGAAATATCAGAGCTGAAATTGATATAGACCATTCATGCATACTGGCAAATTAAGAATTCAATGAGAGGTATAACATACAATTTAAAACATTGGTCTGGTTTATTTCTTTATGTTTTCATTATTTCTTTGTGATTGCTTATAGAACTATATTTAGTTCTATTTTTGCCATATGTGTTTGGTTACACTTCTGAAGGAGAGATAATAAAAAGTTAAGTCAAGTAGATCTGGTGAGTGTCTGAAGTGGGTTATGACCAAAAACCACTTTTTTAAAAAGACACGTAAGAGAAATTTTTTCTTGGATAACATAATAAAGAACTTCCTTGAGAACAGGAACAGTATTTCAGCCATTTTTCAGTTTATTGCTTTCTCTCTCCCAACTATTAAAGTCATTCCAGACAGGAAATTAGCATATAGAGTGGTGAGACAAATTTTGTCTGAAGAATAGTACGCCCCTACCCAACACCGACTTTTAAATAAGATAAATGTGGGTTATTCCACCATCATGAATCATGATTTCAAGGAATGTGATGAATAAGTGGCAATTTTTCTGTTCTAAATGGATGATATTTTTAAAAAAGAAAAAAGATGGCTGATCGAGGAAAAGAAAAAAGAAAAAAGATGGCTTTACAGTTCTGCCAGGAGTAGGCCCTGACCTGGGACAGAACCGGGTGGTCTCACCTGTGCTTTCTAACCTCCCCAGGCCTAAGGGCTGTCCCTCTGCTGCACTTTTCTTATTTGTGGGGACTTGAGGGAAGAGTGGAGCGTGTTTTCTGCCATGCCTCCTCAAGGAAAAGGAACTGATTTTCCTCCAAAGAGCAACATTTCAGTGGGTTCTCACTGAAATATGTGATACCATAAACATGCACTTGAAAGAAAAGCAATGCCTGTTTAGCTCTGGCAATGGTTCTGGATTAAATTTATTATTTGTAAATTTATTATTTATCTGGATTAACGTTTTGGTACCAGAGGAGAAAAATTCAGGATTCAAATATAGTCAGAGCTACTTATACCAGAATGAAAGTAGCAGCCTCAAGCTAGTTGGAAATTTAACTTTGAGTGAAAAATAACAGACAAGACACTGACCCACCTCTCCTACCAGTGACAAGCTTCCATTGATTCTTTGTTCTTAGCCTATTATCCCTTCAACTTGGCTGCGATTAGAAGCTCTACAGCTGAGCTTTTTACTTTATTATTATTATTATTATTATCATTATTATTTTATTTTTTTTAAAAGATGACCGGTAAGGGGATCTTAACCCTTGACTTGGTGTTTTCAGCATCACGCTCTCCCAAGTGAGCCACGGGCTGGCCCTTTTTTTTTCTTCTTATTCATTGTTCTATTTCTATTAAAATTTTTAAAAATTGAAACATTGTACATATTTATGGGGCTCAGAGTTACATTTCAATACACGTATGCAGTGTGTGTGGATCGATTCAGGGTAATTAGCCTATCCATCATTGCAGAACTTAATCACTCCTTTTTGATGTGCACATTTGTTCTCTCTTCTGGTCGTCTGGTCACTTGCAGTGATCACAGATTTGTAACTGTTCTATCTCTCCCTGCTTTTGTGTCCATCAACCGGCTTCCCACCATCTCGCTCTCTTCCTCCTTTTTCCCTCCTGTAGTAACCACAGTTAATTTGTGATCGTGGTAAAGTACAGATAACACAGCACTGGCCGCCTGGCCCTTCTGGTGTGAATTCAGCGGGGGTGTGACCTCCCCACCGTGTGACCCGAGGCCTCCCAGACCCGCCCAGTAACTCCTGTGCTTTGTCCCCTTTGTGTTTCCTTCCAGGACTCCACGATGGGAGGCAAGCTCAGCAAGAAGAAGAAGGGCTACAGTGTGAACGACGAGAAAGCCAAGGACAAGGACAAGAAGGCTGAAGGCGCGGGGACCGAAGAGGAGGGGACCCCGAAGGAGAGCGAGCCCCAGGCGGCCGCGGAGCCCGCAGAGCCCAAGGAGGACAAGGCCGAGAAGGACGCCCAGGACGCCGAGCCCAAGGCCGACGACAAGGGCGAGAAGGACGCGGCTGCGGCCCAGGAGGGGGCGCCCAAGGCCGAGCCCGAGAAGACGGAGGGGGCCGCCGAGGCCAAGGTCAAGGCCAAGGCCGAGCCCACCCAGGCCCCGGAG